GATAGTGCAAGATAAAAGGACTCAACAGAGATGAAATTCTAACTCTTTTCGTCACAGAAAAAATGACTATTTATTTTTTTATAAAAATGTTATGTTGCGCTCATTCATTACAGTGCGGAAAAACAAAGTTGATAGGATTATTTTAGAAAAAAAAACATTTGACATGCGATATGAAACTGTAGAACTTGAATGATGAAATATACAAGGTGTTCTATCAAAAAAAAAGTTGATAGCTTTTCCATAAAGTCCACCAATTTGGATTGTAAAATGTGATTGAATGCAAAGTGGTTGATTCTACTCGAATTCTACTGTACCTACCTGAGTATATAAATATATATATATACAGGGTGAGATTTCCCACATGTTCCCGGACACCCTGTATATAGGTAGGTATTTGTACTGAATGTTTGAAGAATACGTTCACAAATGCAGAAGTAGGTACGTGAAAAAAATAACATATACAATATATACGAGTCTATACAGGGTGTTTCATAATTGAATGCTGATCCTAAAGGGTGATAATCCTTGGATTATTTTAAGAAAAATTCTTCATGTGAACATAGGTCCGTAACAGCTTCGTTTCTGAGATACAGGATGTTGAAATTTAACAAAAAAATCAGTTATTCCCCAATATCTCTGAAACCGCTCTGGCTTTTTTCTTCATTACAAATACTTAAAAATAGTTACCATAAAATTATAAAAATATTGCTCAGATCTTTTGGTTACCACAATTGTGAAATTATAACTAAGAGTAAAAATCGAATGGGGACAAGCAAATGAATACATTTTATTTTCTAACTCAAAAACCGTTCGCCGGACGAAGAAAAGACAGAAGACCATTTTTATGAGAAGATAGAGGATAATTACAAAAATAATATTCATTTGGAAAAAAGACAGTGTCGTATCATTATTTTGATGAAAAATATGACAGGGTATATGTTAACAGGGACGCCACTGATGGAAATTAAGGAATCCTTCATTATGGAAAAAATGTATTTCTATTCATACACGGCATGTACCAAAATTGAAGAAAGAAGCCAGAACGGTTCCAGAGATATTGAGAAATAACTGATTTTTTTGTTAAATTTCAACATCCTGTATCTCATAAACGAAGCTGTTACGGACCTATGTTCACATGAAGAATTATTCTTATCATCCAAGGATTATCGCCCTTTAGGATCAGCATTCAATTATGAAACACCCTGTATAGTTCAACCAAAACAACTAATGTTAGATCTAGTAATGAGTGATATTCGAGATTTCTCCATATTGTATACCTAGATTGTACGTACCTGACTGATGTTCGCGGAATTTGAAAGAAATCAATGCCGAGATTAATGTGTTACGATTTGTAAAACTCAAAATTCTAAAATGAAATTAATCAACTTACTCGTTTTGGTTGGAAATGTGTTGAAAATATATCCACAACGGAAAATAAGCACCACAAGACACTAGCCACCGAAAAAAATGTTCGATGTTACGGATTGTCAAAAATCAAAACGCGAATTTTCAAAATATTTACCGAAAAAACGGTCGTACATTCGAGAGTGAACAATTCCCTTTCAAGCTGCGCCAGCAACTAGTGTGTGAAACGCCAAGGCTGGGTAACGCGTTTTCAGTGCTGTTTGCACCAATATAACGTCTTCCTCACAGAGCACAGAATATACGACAAAGTGAATAGTAACTCACTCTTCATGTTGATCACTTTGATACTCGAATTCAGTCAATACATTAGAAATGATTATAATATGAATGCCCTCAACATTTCTGAACAATATACACGAACATTGAATGTAGGACTTTGTTTTGAATTCAAGAAGAATCCATAAAAAATTAAGCGAACATTAAAATAATACTTGGATTGATATTTATATAAGACCGTCACATAATTGTGATATTTAAAATTTTGACATTCTGCAGTCCATGAAAGAATGGAGATGTAGAATGTATACTAATTTTTGAAATAACCAAATTTCGAAATGGTGGTTTTTTGAAATTTTCCCGTTCACAAGCTCAAATTTGAATTTTAGAAACGAACTACTGAAAAATATATATTTTCAAACTCAGGAACGAAATTACATAATTGATGAACAAATTTTTAATTCAATATCATTGTGGGTGACTGGTCTTTGTTTTCAATTTCCACACCATTGAAATAATTCAAATACTATGTACATGATTTAGCTGATTCCAGTTTATAATATTGAATGAGGTTCAAGGTTACAAGGAATATTTTTCTAGAGATGCATATTTCGAGTAAGCGTCATCAAATATACTGGGTGACTATAAACTTCAAGTCGAAATCGATCGAGCGGTTGATTTTTCCGAGGGGGAAACATTTTAGCTGAGATAAGGTGTATATCAATTCACCACACCACCAAAATTGCATACCTATCTGATGAATCTAACATTGTTATATCTACTATATGGACCCGGATGTAGGCTATTTGAAGCCTTAGGTCACTCCCCCACTATCTTCCAAGCTGAAATACATGCCATCAACCTTTGCGCCCAAAGGTGCCTATATCTATATCTGCTCAGACAGCCAAGCCGCACTAAAAGCCCTAAAATCATTCGTTTTCACATCAAAGGTTACATGGGACTGCTTTGAAACCCTCATGCAACTGGGAAAGGGCAACAAAGTCACACTTATGTGGGTTCCAGCGCATGAAGGAATCAAAGGAAATGAGGCAGCTGATCGCCTTGCAAAAAAAAGGTGCAGCATCTGCACTTTTTGGTCCTGAGCCTTTTTGTGGGATAAGCAAATGTCACCAAAGGGAGAACTCGGGAAATGGGAAGAAATTGAAAAGTCCTCCTACTGGAGAGCAACTCCAGGTCAACGACAAGCGAAAAGGTTCATCAACCATTCCCAGAACCGAGCCAAAGAGCTACTCAGCCTCAGTAAACCAGAGCTAAAGCTTATCACAGTCTTTCTCACAGGACACGGTCCTCTGAGGTACCACCTCAAAAAGATGGGTCTGGCGGAGACTGACACTTGCCGCTTTTGTAACAATGCGACCGAAACCGCGGAACGCATACTTTGCTCATGTGAAGTATTAGTCCGCCAAAGGCTGAACCACCTAGAACAGGTCTATCTCACCCCTGCTGAAGTGGAAAAGTCAACTGTCAGGAAAATCGAAGGCTTCATCAGCAGTCTAGGGTTCGAGAACCAAAACTAGGTAGGGGTAATCACAATAGATCTTCTAGGTCGCAGTGATCGAGAGGTCTCCCAGCCTATACGACCCATCTACAATCTACAATCTACAATGTACAGTGCAGTCGTGACCCTTATTTGAATCTATCAGGATCAAAGTAACCTCCTTCTTGATAGTTAATAAACATGAATGGATAGCGATTGGTGCAAACGACGTTTCCCTTTTGATTGAATCGACTATACAGCACGAATATGCGGTCAAGGTATAAGAACGGTCCCACCACAAACCACACAAACTCCACCAGGTGTGACTCTTTCTTCGTTTCTTCGGATCTTTTTGGATGTCCCGGTATCAATATGAAAGGCTAGTCGTCACCGAAATATCTCCCACCACCGTGAATGAGATGTAGCGTAACTATAGAATAAGATCTATATATTTTATCAACTGTTGCGAAAAGTTTCTCATTTCATTACTGGTTAAGATATGTACAGGAATAGCCATTTATTTTGAAACGAAACATACCTCTAGATACCAAATTTTATTCCAATATCATAATTATTTTCAAATTCATTAACAAAAAACAAAAATAAGAATTCAACTTTGACACTCTGTATCTCAGAAACGAATAACTTTCAGACATATATTTATACGAACTTTTCTTCTTATTTTGCCGTCAGCAACATGCTCCTGAATTTTCTACACGTACTTAAGAAACACCCTGTATACCAACTGTTCAAACTCGCATTCACAGTCTGTATGTCAGAATCAACTATCAACTACCTATGCCTATATTCATTATTCAAAATATTTTTATTAGTCGTTCGGCTAGTGAACATGTAGCAGAGAACATTCTTCCACGTTTTCAACTGATTAATATTCGAATCTTTTTGTAACTCCAAATTAGGGTTGGACTGTTTATCACGTGATTATAATTACAGAAGTGCGTGCTATAGGACGTCGAAAACATCTGAAAACTAATGTAATATCAAGTACCTAATATTAAAACCTACGGCCTACCTACTTTATTATTTCCATTGTTGCCAGCCATTTTGCAAAACAAATATATTACAAAATGGACGCGTGGGCATCACAGGAAAGGAAATTGGTCGTTTCTCTCATATTAATATGCTCTTATGGAAAATGAAACAAATGACCTACTTCCAGTTTTACGATCAAAAGGCACAAACTACCTATCTAAACATGAAATGTAACATCAGTTACGACTAATATCATTAGGTTTATGTAGGATTCAGATATAATAGGTGAAGGGATTCATATTATGATGAAGAATTATCATATGTATATAGGATATCGTCAACCGAATGAAAGAAATAGGTATCGACGAAAAAATGAATACACTCAGAATATCGTTGAAAGTTTGCTCATCATTAACTTTGTTGATCCAAATCCGATTCGATCATTCTTCTCTTTGAATTAAACATGAATTCATATACCGGGTATAACAAGATCATGGTATACCCCCCTTTTCTCCTTTGTTTTTGTAGCTATATTTCTGAAATTTGGAACATCGAATATGCTCACTAGAGGGCAGTTTCTCACATGTCAGGAAATTTTTTTCATCTTCCGGTTTTTCTGGAAATGACACCAACTTTCGATTTTCAGATGGAACACCCTGTATTTTATTAGGTACAAAATCGGTTAGAGATTATTATAACGAATTCAACAATACCGAGTTTCATTGGGTTATTTTAAACGATTACGAAGATATTATCGTTCGAAGTTTCCATAAGCTCAATAGGTGTAACGGCGCAATATCTGAACTTCTTTCTCTGTCACACTCATTTCGGAAATTTCAAAAAATGAAAAATCTATGAAATAGTTCGATAAAGTTTTATTTCACATTCATCCCAGTACAATAACTTTGGGTTCCATATCTTCAAAATAAGGTTCCGCTGTCCTTTCCTCACTAGATCTCTGCTTCCTATTTTTATTCCTTGCAGATTTTGAGGATAGCATCAAAATGAGGTTAGACCATCTACTATGTATTTCTTTCGCAATTCCAACTGGATCCCCTGAAATAAATTGACTATTCATATCTACACTCTCTAATTTTGAATATTGAAAAACTACTAAGGAATTTTTCTGGAGATAATTAAAAGTTTTATCTTCAATTGATCCTATTCAATAGATATACATATTGATTATTTTTCATGCATGAAAACTTTGCACCATTATTTAGGCTCGTCATTTTCAGGGTAGGGCAATCCATCCACGCCTCATTCGTTCCTGAAATTATTTCACTGACCTAATTCTATGTTTAACAAGTCATTCGCGAAGGACACAAGCAATATCGCACATTTACACACAATGTATAACTGTTCCGGAGCCATATACGATGAAAACAGTAGTTTTCATATAAACCTAATGAAACGACATATTTTGTTTGTCCTCTGAATATAACTGAAGGAACCTAGTATATATAGCAAAGTAAAGAAGATTTCCTTGATCGAGGTTATAGGTTCTTGAGAATACTATCCTGAACAGAGAATTTCAGAGGTTGAAGTTTAATAAAGGGTCGTTTAAAAAATGGATCAGTTCACCTGTTGGTTCTGTGGGAAAAAGGCCCCTATCAAACGTGAAAGGTTCCTCAACTCTCTCAAACATTTCTTGCTTCACCAACGATTCATTGAACCTCGTCTTGGTATGCAAAGATATGTCCATGCGATTTATAAAAAGTGCCCATCTCGGTTGGAAATAATGTGAAACAACACCTGAAAGGAATACTCTCACTGGTCACTATGCCTAACAAAAAGCAATGTTTGTTCACCTGACCACTGCTTGTTGGCATAGTTGATAATCTCCCCATGAGGTCCCCACAAGGTGATTTGGTTCCTGGCGTTATACTCAAAAAGTTCAGCTTCCTAAAAAAACCTTCATGAATACAATCACATCATATTGCCATGAAAACCCTACCTTGGTATCGTTCGCGCAAGCTTTGGCAGCCTCAAGCCAAGGACCCAACAAGAAATCCTTGTTGGTAGACAATATCAGATCCAGATCGAGGAATATGTTCAAAAATCTGGAAGATGTGTCTTCGAAAGCCTGGATATTTTTACCTCTGAAATAACCGAGGAGTTTTTCGTAGTATACGTCGCCAGCTATTTGGAGAACTTGTCTTGTTAGATCTACCAAGTCGTGGAGGAAGGCTGGACTATCTATGAATTCGTCTGCTGAAGCGATAAAAAGATCCCAAGCCTCGTAAACGTCACTGTAGTTATACCAAGTCTTAAAATAAGAAGATCTAGTTTGCACCATTGAATATCACAGAGTCTCACCCAAATGTTCAGCTTCAGACTCGGTGTGTTGGTTATGGCATATTTCCCTCTTAGCTTGAAAATACCACTATAGTCATAAACTGAACCCTATAAATGAAGAAAACACGCCTACTGTTAAACCTTTATTCTGCTTTCATAATCAATTCTTACTCTCAACAAGTCCCAAGCTTTCGTTATATTTTCGTTATATCTTCCGTATCTTCTGATAGTGTAATTCCTGAACCAACTGGTCAAGTTGGAAGGTTCTGATCTCCAAGCAGATTCAGTCATCAAATCATATACAACGTAATTTTGGTTGATCCCTTCTGGAGTTAGCCCAGTACCAATCATGGTACTATTTGGTTCATTCCTAGCTTTGATAACATTCTGAAAAATAATAATTACAATCACGAACATGATGAAAAGTAAAGGCTCTAGAAAGTTTTTCTGTGGAATAGTTCTGAATTGAGTAATCGAATGAAATTTACCTCATTTATGATACTGACTGACCCAAACATCCCAAGAGTTCCTCCAAAATCATGGAGCATACACCAAATGTACGGTTGACCAAAATATTGCTGCAGGCGCTGATATTGAGGAAATTGTTCTGATTGGAGGTCCAGTATTATCATTTTTCCCTTGAACAGAACCAGCAGTTTTCAAAGTTTTATGGTATGAGCATGAAGAACGTGATGGATACAAGTGAAAAGAGTAAACATGTCGAGCTTGTGAAGAAAGAAAGGAAAAATGCGTCCGCCTGCAATGGATATGAACATTTTGCCTTGAACCTACCCTCGGGACGCTTGTAATGAAAGTTTCGACCTTTTCAGGATCTCGCCAATACTCGCTGGAGTAGAACAACCATCCTTGCATGATCCTGGAAAAACAATCGATAAAATGGTATCGATACTTACTATTGGAACTGATGTCAAGAGAGCCTTGGCCTTCTGACTAGTCCAAAAGAAGATTGAATGTGCGAAAAGCCAACCTTGCATCATCCTGTGAAAATTAAAATGGAGAATTCACACTCAAAAATCATTGTTCAGAACGTTCCGTACCAAATCGCTTTCGGATCAGCGTCAGTCATGGCAGAGTAGATACTTTTTCCTACATTCGAGAGGTAGCTCAGATCAGAAGTTGATGGGTCCACTTCATTGAAACTATCACAGTTGTAGATGTGATCAGTTCCGAATTCTGCCATTTGCTAAAATTTGGAACAAAATATCATCGCAAAAACATTCGAATTCGAGATAACTTCAGTTGAAATGTATTTTTTATCAACCTCATCATACCTCCTCTATAAACATTTTACCAATTGCTTTGAATAAATCTTCAGTTGGGTCCAGGAAATAAGGACAGCAGTAGGTATCATTGAAATGATTCCATTGTTCCATACGTGTCATATTCACTTGGGGATATATTCTAAAAAAGCATATTTCCAGACCATTGAAAAATCACTCTGACTAGTATTTTACTCGTATTATACCTTTGGAAAGCCCGTGGCAAATGTCCAGCGAAAGCTGGCAACACAGGAATGATACCCAGACTTCTCATTCGTTGGAGTATTTTCTTTTGCAGCCAAATTGACCTTTCGTGCCAAGCTCTGGACAGAGGGCCACCCCAACCTCGAATATTTCCCATTCTCAACCTGAAATTATTTTGATAGCAGGCAAAGAGATGTATAGAAATTTAACTGGTGCGCTTGCTCCCTATTGAAGGTCGTTTGTAAGTTTCTCGATGGCGCCTACTCTGATAAACCTTTGATAAACATCCTTGACGTGGGTAAATCTCGCTAAGCTCATCCTGGTTACAATCCATATTTACAGGAAACATATTACCGACCGATAAATATTTGGATACGTATATGATTTGGATCAGAGCAGTGAATTTATTCCTGATCAAAGGATCGAAACGTCAATGTCAAAATTATTCTTGACCTTAAAAAATGATTATTTCTGAGATTGAAGTCAAGTGTTCGTTAGGGACGTGTTCCGTAGTTTCTAAATTTTGTGTATAATACCTAATCCATCATATAAAAAAGGAAATCTCTGTTCTACAACAGTATTATTTCAGTGATTTGAAATATTAGCGTGAACTGGTGTGAATAAATTCTAAGGTGAGTATACCATCAGTTACCATATCTGCCTATTATGATTTTCGATATTGGTCTATTTCAATAGTTGATACATTCTTTGTTCTGGTTCTTCAAAGAGGAAATTCATCAAATTTCATACTTTAAATATGTTCATGTCATGAAAGAAGTGAAGCTTATTAAAATCGACTACAAAAAAGATTTCTTGTTTCTATTTCAAATTGAAATGTGAACGAAAATGTTGAGCACAGTATTTATTCGACCACAGAACAATGATGGAAATAGATTCATCCCTCACAGAACCAAGGTTTTGAACGATTTTCCGATTATGGCGCCTCTATCGCAAATACCTGAACCCCACGTCCAAAACTCGCTTGCAATTGTTCCATATCGAGAGTTAGTCTGACGAAACAATTGAAGAGTGAGCCCACCAGTTAAATTTCTATACATCTCTGCAGGCAAGGTAGAACTCTTGATTATACAGGGTGAGTCATGAGGAACTGTACATACTCATACCATGAATAGAGGCCCCTGAGGCGAATACCTCATGACCATCCGAAAGGGTATTCTCCTCTTCTTCACTAAATGGAATTTGGCAGAAACATCTTTTGGTCATAAGCTCCCAACAGCTCCTTCGTTTGTCTTATTTTTTCATGAAATATTCTGGTACTACTATCTAAAAGACTGACTTATTCAGAATCAGGAAAATCCAGGACCGTTCTTGAAACATTTTGCTACTTCAATTTATATCAAAAAGTTCATCCTGTACATGGTTTTTGTAAACTAGGAATATCCAGAGGTCACAAACGAACATCAAAATGCAATATCCAAAATTTGTCTCACACTTTCACAGAAAAAACGATACATTTTCATAAAAAATACTTCGCAGCGCATATATTTCACGAATAAAAGTGAGACTTACATTCTCAATATTTTAGCTCAATGGAAATCAACCTGAATTTCGTCATTTGATTTTTTCTTGAGGGTATAATAATCACCTTGTAGATCTTTTACTAATCAGTAGTGGATGGGGGGGTATCTGTATGGATGTTGATGATGGCCATCGATTTGAATAATTTTATGATTATTATTTCTCAATTTTATCGATTCGATTTGTTTTATCAAGTTATTTCGGTCACTTATTCGCCATACAGAACAATAATTATCATCATATCTTGTCATTGTATTCTTATAAAAAATTGTGGATAAACCCCCATTTTCTGATTGATTTTCTAGAGTCATTTGAATCGATTGTCATTAATATCCATACATATACTGTGACCTGTACACGAAAAAGATCTACAGGGTGATAATTATACCCACCGCAAAAAAAATAAATTGACGAAATCCAGGCCAGGAAATCAAAGAACATGGTGATTTCCATTGAATTAAAGCATCGAAAATGTCAGTCTTACTTTAAATCGTGAAATGTATACGTTGCGAAGTATTTATTTTCAAATAAATGTATTTGTTGCAAAAATTTCGTCTTTTCTTGGAATGTATTGTTTTTTGAAAAATTGTGTGGAAGTGTGAGAGAAATTTCGGATATTTTATTTCCGATGTTTGTTTGTGACCTTTGATTTTTTCCTGTCACAGTTTACAAAAACCATATACAGGATGAACTTTTTGATATAAATTGAACTAGCAAAATGTTTCAAGAACGGTCCTGGATTTTCCTAATTCTAAATAAGTCAGTCGATTAGAGAGTAGTAGCAGATCCAATGCGAAAATCAGACAAATCGAAGAAGCTGTTGGAAAGTTATGATCAAAATATGTTTTTACCAAATCCGATAATTCTCCCTATATATTCGTGGTTGGAGTATGTACAGTTCCTCATGACTCACCCTGTATACACTAATCAAGGGTAGAACTAAGACCTAGTCCACTATACGATCTTTTCAAGTTCATTCCAGATAGTGTTGCTGTAGTCACTTTTTTTTCAGTTCGAACAAAATTTGAAATTGAATCTCACCCTTCTTGTTTTCAGATATATTTAATGAAATTTTCAATTCGTGATATCTTTAGCTTTTCCAGAATATAATCAACTTCGATTTATCAAATGAAACTCGTGTGTTATATTTTGAAAAGTCATAGTTAATACGCCGATTATTCATTCGTGTGGAACGGAAGAATCATCACATCAAAAGAATTCATGTACAAAAAATTGAGTCGTTTCAAACAACTTATATTGTTGTTCCATGAAACTGTTTTATCCGTCATTCGGTTGCCCCCTTACGAGCAACCCTCAGAAGTCTTCGAGAGACTTGTGCGAGCCAGAAATGACGGTATATTTGATATTTCTGAAAAAAAATGAGTTGAGAATATCTGCATTTCAAGAGATGCCCACTGTACCATGACAAAAATGCTGGTCCAGTGAAATGTTCATCGATGTCAGCTTGTGTGAGATTCAAGTTTTTGTAGACCCTTTCCCAAATCGCTTCTTGCCCGTTGAAAGCCAGCACCAGATTGAAGGAGTTGAGTGCCATCCAGTCTATGTGTTTCTCCCATTGTTGCCAATTCCACCATACAAAGCTGTAGCTTGTGGTACATACGTTCTGATAATACCGGAACCTAAGGAGACATTCATTAATTCGAAAGAAAATTTGGATAGTACTAGGAAAAATACGAAATAAATAACAGTCGATGGATGATAGACACGAAAAGTACATATACATATATTCATTTTCAAAGATTGATAGAGACATTTTGACGTTTAAGATTTATTCGCAGTTTAATCATTCTCGTTTTCGTGCTTATATACTCCTTTCCAAACGGATTCAAAAATACGTTCTATCTATTATCTTCTACACTCTCGACAGTCTACAGAGGCAACAACAATTTATTTTCATTCATTTTTGCTTCAACAGTAGTTCAAGTGCAAAATTTTGGTTGCAATAAAAAATATGTACCTACATATCTTTCAAAATGGCGTCTGGCAATGATGCGTGCTGCTTATTTATAAAAAAAGATATATAGTAACCCCTGTATCAACGTTTATGTATTCCTGTAACTATTATATAGAAAGACATCAGTGTGCAAATTTGAGAAGATTCACTTGTCCATTTCTTCACTTATGGAATAAGAACCAAACTTTAACGCCCTCGACTAAAAAGTATTTACGAGTCTCTATCACCTCTCAAAATTAATGGAAAAAAATCTGGATCACTCTAAAGATCAGGTTTTTCGCAGTACCTGTCAATCAATGTTACCGTGATATTCACTTCTGGCAGCTCTTTTGGCAAATCCAACTGAGAAGCTTCCCAAGAAATATGTGCCTCACAAACATATTTCAAATAGTAATTCAACCCTGTCAAAACGGCTACCCCAGAAGTTCCAGATATCTTGATGATTCCTTCTTGTTTATTAATCTGAAAACCAACAAAATTGATATTTGTTGCTAAGGAATCAGAAAGCTATATTGAACTCCATGATGCTTATATACCTTGAAGTAATCTTTTCCAATGCCTCCTTGATCAGGATTCACGTCCACAGAAAATTCAGCAGACCTTTCTTTCAGAATTCTCTTGATGGCATCCAAGGCAGCCTTGGATTGATCCTCTTTGGAGACTTGGGGTCTTATGTGACCCAATTGCTCATGGAAATCTTCAAGATATAATTATCGATCATTCGACAATCAAGTTTAATGCATTTATTTCAGGGATCTCTAACAAATTTCTTTCGTTAACAAAGTTGAGATATTCTTCAATTGCTAAGGATTATACAAGATGGTCCAGTTTTTAGTTAGGTACAAATGAAAAAAAGTATGATATCTCGAAATTCAAAAGATTTGGTATGAATTTCATCTTCAGAGGCATTTTAAAAAAAGAGTTTCATGGAAAAGACAATTATTTTTTCAAGGGATGAATATTTTGTGCGATTTATTGAATAATTCATAACCTAACCATTCTAACCTTATCGAACAACTGTAATGTAAATAAAGAGATGATAATACATAGAAAACACTCACCATCACCAATTGCAGCTCCTGCCAAATGAAACAAAACCACGAAAACACTAATACGCTGCATTTCCATACAAATCAGTTCTCAACCAATAGCATTGGCTGATGTATGTTAGATGCAGTTTGAACGTACCTATTCAAATTTGAATGCACTGTGATGTACAACACAAGATATACCACTTTAGAATGATAAGAGTCCACGACCAGTAGGCTATTATCCTATTATCAATTTGGTTGTTTTGAATTGAGTGGTAAACAGAAATGAATATCTATACAGGGTGGTCTAGGGTCCAATTTGAACAACCGATAAAATAACGAATGACTGTTTGTTCTTCTTGAAGACTGGTTATGTTATCAGTGGAGAATGAAAGTACATTTAGTATCAATTAAAAACTACTGGGTCCGTATGCAAAGAAATTGAATGGATATCCACTCGAGAGGTTATGAACAAACAATTTCCATGTGAGAAATATTTCTATGAGAAATTACTTTCAGATGATTGATTCATGCCCCTACCTTGATCCTAAAGGTATATGACAAGGAAAGGAGGTAGGTGGAATTTTTCTTGAACTTTTGGAGGTTATAAGTTCTTGGAAATAATTCCATTGGCAAACAATTCCAAAGCTTCGCCGTTCTATAGACGAACGAGTTTTGATAGACTTTTGTTCGATATTTTTCAAGGTTTGCGACGAAGAGATCTGGTGACTGGGCCTATCGAGTTCGTCTGAAATCAATGAAACCTTCCAAAAAAAGACAGGTACTGTAATTGATGCTTCGAAATTTTAGAGAGGTCACTGTAATCATGAAAAAAAATCAGTCCACGGTGTTCAATTTTCCTTTCAAATGTTTTGATGAGGCATTCATTTTGTGTTATTCACATGTAACCAAAATCTCATGACCGTCAATAAGAAGTTATCGATTTGGAAATGCCATTCAGATGTTATTCATTTTCATAGGTGAAAATTTCCGAAAGGGAGATTCATGGGGAACAGTACCGTTTATTGATGATGACTTCACGAAAATAAAATACTATGGGTGAACGAATATTTAATCTCAAAATAACTATAAAGATAGTTGGTGAATAAAGTAAGCTTCTTATTCTCGCTTCACAATATACACAGTGTCTCCAACTGATATTCTCCCATTCCGCACTACATTTAGATGTATCCCCATTACAGGAGCTTTGTGAGGTCCGCTGGTCATTCGATACCTAAAAAAAAGAAATCATGTCCATGTAATATTCGTTCGTAAAACATAACGCTCTCAAGCAAATCACCTCTTCAAAGTATTCAACGGTTCCATATCACTTCTTCTGATACCAGTATCAGCATCAATCGTGGTCATGATGCACCTCAGACATTCCATCACGTTCTTCATGACGACGTCTCCGATTTTGATCCATTCCCAGCTGTCTTCTTCGAAAGGCCTCAGATTTGGACCGTCCATCAACAAATTCGGACGGAAATTGTTGGAGCTGATCTCTGAGTTGACGATTTTTTGGTTGACGTCACGTACCGAGGATTCCGATATCATCATGAGGGTGGTCAAGTCACTGTTCAGACCCTGAAACACCAAAATGTTTCATATTTTAAACTAGAGAATTGATCTGTTCTTCGCTATGATACTCCCGGAAAGATATAGGTAGGTATACGACCCTGGAGTAAAAACCTTTGATTTATGTAATTCTTATTCCAAGAAATGTAGAAGAAAAAATTGGGTACGCTCCTAAAATTCAGAAAGACTGGTCTTTCCTCTTTCTAACAATGTATATCAAGTTATGTTTTCTTAGAAAACTATCAGAGTTATAACTGTTTGAAACAACTACTGCATATGGAATGGTTTAATGAGATTTTGCAATGTAACCAAAGTCGTCATTGGAAATCCTGATCACAACACATGAAATGCCAGATTAGATGTGTCAAATGAAGATTGTCGAGCATTTGTACTTTCTTCGAGTTGAAAAAATGTTTACTTTGACTGAAAAAGCAAATGAACTCATCATAAATCTGCATCAGATTTATACTCAATATACGGTAATTCAGCATTTCAGGATAACATCCTAATATGCAGTAGATGCTTCAAAGAGTTATAACTCTGATAGTTTTCTAAGAAAACATAACTTGTTATACATTGTTAAGAAGAGAAAAGACCAGTCTTTCTGAATGTGCAAAAATATACAGGGTGCTTCGATGAAATAAAAAAGTTGCCCTATACCTGAATAATGGCTAGTTTGTTTCCGGTAGAACCGGAAGTTCAAGAAAGAAGGTGAACCTGTCAAAAAAACTTGAGAAATATCAAAATAGACTAGTCCAAACTACACAACGATAACTTGAATGGTTTCAGAGATATAAGCATTTGAAATGGGTCAGAATATAACTGGTCACCCGGTAGTTATAGTAGCATTTTCCACTAATTTTGATCATCAGTAATTAATGTTTCATCCAAATACGCAACTTTTTACGGTTTCGAAATCAGAAAAAAATCAGTAAAAAAAAACATTGGTATTCGATTCAAAAACTTATATGTCCAAAATAGATATTTTTCTAATTTTGACATGTAATTTGAGTTTTCAGAAATTTTACTTTACGTAACGAGGTGCGCCATTTATTCAACGAGCGCATAATGATGGCTATTGCCTACATGCGCAAGTAGAATAATATACTTTATCTACAACTATTCAAATATCAAAGCAACTTCGACAGTTCAGAAATATAACTTTGGAAGTAAGAAAATTTGTACATGACCTTTCTCGACACCCTATATATCTAACTCTTATTAACAGCAACTTCAAATTTCACGTCGATAATTTTCTGATTTTGATCTTTTCAATATTGATTCGTCACAAAACAAATAGTGTATTTTACACGGGAAAAATATGAGATTCTAGCTCACGGTTTTTTTTCTATAAAATCGACTTATTTTCCTTGTATAATGAATAACTATTCATGCTTTAGTTGACATTGAGAAAAATGACACCTGCATTGGTTTGTAGTGTTTTTCGCCGACGAAAAACGTCGGTGATATAGCCATTTGCGTTTTGTATGAACAAAACCTGTACCAAAAAGTACATTTAGTTCTAGGACAACTAGACTTTTTCATGTTGATATCTTCAAACATCTGGTCACTAATGTTCACTTAGACCTACTTATATAGGACCCATCGAAAAAGAGATAACGATATCAGAAAACAATTACGAACAAATTCAGAGACAGACAGAGACTACAATTACGAAAATTATATTGATTTGAATACACAACTCGAAAAGTTATATTTACCGTTGCATCAATGTTCATCCCTCTTTTGTAATAGTCCTCGAGACCCTGGTATAATTTCTCGAACATTATTCTCCTGAAGCTACCATCATGATAGCCCAATCGCAGACCAGCATTCTCGCCCAGAAGGTATTTTGATATCCATTTGGCTGCTGCATCTCCACAATCGATCGTTGGGATGGGTTCATCCATGAAATGCCTTCAATAATTATCATAAAATGACCGATTTCGAATGGATCACACATATAAAGTTTCTCAAAATTGTGTCCCGATATTACTGTGGCTGAGAGTACATTCATCCAAGAACGAAGTTAATAATTTCCATGAAGTTTAGAGCGATTTTTTGAAGCAAACAATGGCGATAGGACCAAATAAGTCTCAATAAAATATTGCTTTGTGAAAAGATATACCTAGGGCGTATCAATCGAAGAGTATTAGGTACAAACTCGCACCAAAATGTATTCTGTAACAAGAAATGTGTTCTACCATCAACAAATATCTGATGACAGTTCAAAGCATCACACATTTCATAATTGATATAAAATGTGAAGTTCCCTTCCGAAATTTCGAACTGTTCAATTGTGTTTTCTCGAAAACGGATAAAAATATCGTGCTCGAACGAGTGTACCAATATCATGTCTAAATGATGTTCATGTCAAAATTGCTAATCGGAATTACTTAAAATTTTCGTCAATATTACATGAAATAATATTCCCTGTATGAAAGTATGTCTCTGTGCAGATTTCGATAACAATCCATACAGTGAAATTATTAGCAAAAAAACGAAAAAAGAATGACAGCATCAATTTATTCGAGCATATTTGGTCATATCGACATATTTTAGTCCAAACAAGCAATTTTTAGCCCAATAGTTATGATTCCCCTGTATACAGTACAAACTTTTGGTTCATCTATAAATATTTATTTATTATACAAGGAAAAACCAGTAGTAGATTTTAGCCCCAGGATGTGTTGTCTCCCGACGCGTAGCAGAGAGAAACAAAAAACCGTGAGCTAAAATCTAATATTTTTTCCGTGTATAATACACTATTTTTTTCTGTGACAGAAGGAAGGACGAATCAGTATTGAGAAGATATCACAATTATTTTGAAATCTAAAAATTATCTACGTACAATTTAAAGTTTTTAACAGTAAGGACAAATATCTGATGTCACTTCTGCCAGTCTAATTCTGTGATTTGATTTCGAAAAATTGCGAATTTAGTGGTTGTAATATACGTAACCGCGTAGTCGAATGGAAGATAAGAGGACTTGCAGTTCTTTCTCGGAGACGGTATTATTGACTCAATTTTCGGAACTATAGCACAACAAGAGCCATCAACAGTGCGTATGAATATGTGATATATATCCGGGAAAAAAGTACTCACTTTTTTCCCACGGGAAAAAAATTATATCCAAATCAGAAAATTATCGACGTGAAATCAGAAGTTTTCAACAGTAATGACACCTGCGTTGCAGGAATCTCTATCATTATTTTGAAGTAATCAAATATCAGTCAGTCTTTTTCTCTGATTTGATTTTGAAAAATTTCGAATTTAGTGGTTGATGTCTAGCAGCGAAGTCGAATGGAAGATAAAACGACTTGCAATAATTTCTTGGGGACAGTGTTATTGGCTTATTTTTTGGAACTATAGCACAAGAGCCATCAACAGTACATATATACAGGGTGGCATTGAAATAAGTGCAGATATTTCAAACACTGAAATTTCTCGTTAATTAGGAGAATTAGAAAAAATCTGATATAATGGGAATACTCCTTGGAGTGTTTCATATTAATGTGCTGAATATGTGCACTTATTTCAAAAACACCTTGTATATATGATATATATCCGGGAAAAAATTTCAAACTTTTTTCCCGTCACAGAAAAAATGTCTTTGATCATCATTAAATGATTAATTTTGAATGGATCATACATTGAAAGGAATAGGATTGGGTCACCTTGGAATAATCGATTTCATCAATCGCTAGAAACAAAATACAGGGTGATACGTATAGAAAATGATTCATTACACCATATAATGCTGGTGATCTAGAATTGTTTCCCGATATTACTGTGGCTGAGCTGAGAGTATACATACATCCAAACATGAAGTTACTAAATTACATTAAGTTTTGAAATAGTTATTTATGTACCAAGGAAGAAATACTATCTATAGTCTAGTCAGCAAATTGATATAGCCGAGGCCTTAGCCGAATTCGACAACAGCAAATTACAGTTGTTGTCAACTCACTCTTCGCGCGGACCAGGGTTGCCAGATTTTCATTGCATCAGTAAATAACTTCATTTCTGATACAATATGAATCTATCAAAATTCCAAGGTGTCCGGTTCCAGCGAAATTTTCTCACTTGACAATAGTCACGTTACTCTTAGTTTTCTTTGGAATCTCAACGATCAAGGTGGGCATATCAGGAGCATTCAGAGCTACATGATTCTCATCTCGTGCGGACACCTCCACAAGGACTGATTTCGGATTATTTCTTCCCGTTCTATATTCCTTGGTTTCTTCATGATACACCACAAATGATCTAAAAAAAAATTGAAACAACTATAGACAAAATCTTTCATTGATTCGCACATAAATCATAAGGAAACATTTTGAAACAATTGAATTTTTATTGCTTATTAGGAATATTACCAATTGAGGATTTCTGAATAAAATTATTGAATAACTAATATTTCTGAAGATCCCAATCGTAATGGCAACTGTGCTGTCTTAAATTTCCAGCCGTTTGAAAATTACCGTGGCACTATTGATAATTTTACGCACAACTAATAGCTGAGATCAGGAACGAGCTCATGAGGGGAAGAAGGCAATTTTAGGCGAGTTGGCAAATTGAGTTCACAAAAAACATTTATGATATTGAATTTTTCTGAATTCAAACTAGTAATTTCTTATTCATGTAGGAACCATGCATACATGAACTCAATATAATTATCACAATTAATTTTTTACTGGCCGTACCTAATCACAAAACATCTACAGTTGTTTAGCAGAAAAAAAACTTCGATTCATCGCTTCCTCACAACATGTAATAATCCATCTAAGATGATCAATTCGTATTATTCATAAAATTTCAAAATTTCAAAATTGATTTTTTTTAGTTGGCAAAATTTACTAACTGCTCCCCCTCTCCTAAACTTTCTTTCGGTCCGTCCCTGGCTATGGAGCCGGTGTCGAAGTGAGACACTTATTCGATAATGAATTCGAGGAAAATTTCACTCACCTGTCGCGTAATCTCAAGGAATTTTCTACCTTTTCGTCCTCCATCGCAGTGTGTTTGTTGCACACCAACTTTTGCACTTCAATGCGCTTTCCACTTTTCAGAGGATACAAGCACAATTTGGTTATTTTTCCCACGGGCGTCCATTCCGTGGGTATTTTGGGTTTCCGCAATCTTTGGTACCAATAAGCACCCAACACAACGAATACAGTAGTAACGGTACCCAAAAGTATCGTGATCTTTTGATTGGGAAAACTGGATGTATTTTCCATGGTACGGACGAAAAAAACAATAAACTACTCTTCTAGCTTGCCAAATGCGGCTTGTTGATGTTGAAGCATTAATCACAGTACCTTATTTGCTATAATTCAACCTTGCACATTTATCTACAAATCAACATACCATCTTGAAAGGTCATAGATATCTCTGTATAGAAACATAAATATCTAGATGCGTTTACACGTTCATCTAACAACCATCTATCTGAACAAGACGATAATAACACCTACGGAATAGCCACAATTCTCAAAGTGAAATTAAATTTTAAAAACATTGAATTATATCCTCCCGAAATCTATGCATCGACTCGTATAAACGAGTACTGATACAAGTGATTCTTTCCTGAATACCTATTGATTTCTATTTAGCCAGGCCACGCTAGACACCTACATACCGGTTTCGAGCTCTTTGACTCTCATCAGTGCAGGACAGTCTCCAGCCAGCAGTCCTTAGACCGCCGACTAAGCGTAGTCTAGCCAAACAAAAATCAAGTCGGCATTATATTTCCTCAGAAGCGCTCCTGACTCAGAAGCGTTCTCCAGGAGGATGTAATTCAATGTTCTGCGTGGGATTAGCCAGGAAAGTAGTTGCTTTTCTCCCGAAATCTATACCACTGTTGTTCATTTTATGAACATTGTGTGGAAATGACATTTTCTTGGAATCACAACAGGAGCAGGCGGAATTTCTGACACTTGGCTTTCTGTTCAAAACAAATCAGCCACCTACAAATTGGGCACAAAGGAAAATATGAGGAAATCGAAAATCTTCAATTCCGAGTCTGTATATAGTATAGACAGTTTGTGTTTCATTTAAAATATATATTTGATTCATAACTAAAAAACAGAAGGTGGTAGGAAGAAACTAAACACATTACTGGATTCTACAGAAAAAAATTCTAAAAGAATGCTTTTAAATTTTTTCGATAAGTTGGAAAATAACTAAGATGAGGGGTCGGGGATTGCCTCAATTGAACCCTGTATCTCAAAAACCAGAAGGGCTATGAAAATTCTGCTAGCGCCTTCTTTGATTTCATGAAACTATCTTCCAAAATACGGGAGATACCCCGGAAAAATGGAATATCCTATCTACACAAGTTTTACTTTCGCCAATACCATACGCTGATGCTCTTAGATTCCATCCAGAGAAGAGCCATTCGCCTGGTGGGTGACGCCACACTCACTCACTCTTTGACATCATTGGAACACCGTAGAAAGGTCGGCGACCTTTCACTTTTCTATCGATACTTCCACGGGAAATGTTCTTCGGAAATCTCTGCTATCATCCCTACACTAGCAATACAAATCAGACGAACTAGACAAGCCCAGTCAGCACATCCTTTCGTTGTCAACCTCGAAAGATGTCGAACAGCACTTTATCAAGACTCCTTCATCCATAAAACGGCTAGGCTCTGGAATTCATTGCCCGTGGTATTCCCAACAACATATAATCTCCAAAAGTTCAAAAAAAATTCCAATACCTACCTCCTGTCCCTATCCTCCCTAGGAACGCACGATGTTCTTTGAACATTATAGGGATTCCCTTTCGTGCGCTCCAAGCGATAAAAAAAACTTGTTCTCTACCATGAAATAAGTATATCGAATATCTAATATATTAATATATAGGTACGTGATGAAATAAACTACTTACTTGAGTAAGTACCTACTAAGTATACTGTAAAATTATGTGCTTAATAATGTTTCAAATTTCTTATAATTATTGCCAAGTTTAAAAAATACTTTGAAAATCATGTAATCCCATAGATAGATTAAATCAGATTAATTCATTTTGAGTCCACTAGGTATCATTTGGTATCGGCTTCTGTAAACCAGAGATTGTGTGTATAATCTCTGTGTAAACATTTTCACAACTCATGTCGTCTGTGTTGCCTAACAATACTTGGATACATGATGGTATGGCTACAGTTACCTGTTTGAGGATACTCTTCGAGATCAGTATAGTGTCACGTTCAAAATGAAGATGTCGCTATATACCTATTTCTTGACTGTGACTTGTTACTGTTGCTACTTATCATAGGCGCCGGTAATATGAGAGCAGAAGGAGCATCCCCCTTTCGGAAAAATTTTAGACGTCACTACCCCAGAGCTTCCAAAATTGACATACTGTTCAAGTACATGTTATGTAATGAAAAAATGTTCGATCATTTGTTTGTTGAGAATTGTTTTCGATTTTATCAAATGTTTTTATTTATATGGTTTTGTAGTGTTAGTGTGGTATCCTCTGTGTGTCTGTAACAACATGATAGTTTTTAAATTTATTCAATCAATTTTTCACTTCTTCCCAATATTTAAATTGAATGAAAATGTTAAATGTTTCAATTTCATGGTAACGGCATGAAAATGCATCTATAACAGCACATGAAAAGATTTAAAATATGCACAGTGCGTCCATAAAGTAACGCATAAATTCATTATTGGCTAAATGAACAATAAAATTAGAAATTCCCGAAACAGGTCGATTTTTGATTTCAATTTACTATTGTTTCAAATCATAATCTAATATACAGGCTGAACCACTTTCGTGTAATGACGTCATCACCATTTTTTTCAAATAGAACCCCCCTTTTTTTCAATTTCAGAATTGCCCTTGCTGAGCTGATTCCAAAAATGTATAATATGTTGCTTTAAATTGGTACAGGGTGGGCAAAAATGCAAAAAAATATATGAATATTGTTTATGGAAAGTAATACGTTACTGAATGTAATAAACAAATTAAATGGAATTATGTAGTAATGCAATTAATGTGATACACTTCCAAAAACAAACAAACAAACGAAAATTCACAATAAATGTTCAAATTGTTCTCCATTGACCGTTAGACAATGACTGAACCGGGCATTACTTTCGTCTCTAACATTCTGCAGCATAGCGGGTGTTATGCTTTGCATTTCTTGTCTGATTCGGTCTTGTAGTTGAGGGACATTTCCAAGTCAAATTTAAAAAAATGGTGAAAGATAATGCCAAACAAAAAGATTTTTATAGTCCACGGGCTTGGATCACTAATAAAAGCTGTAAGATACAATTATTAAGAATAATTCTGGATGTTCTCGATAGTTTATCAAAGTAGTTGTATAACAATACGTAATTTCATTCAATGTGTTTATTACGTTTATTCATTATTTTTATTACTTTGTAAGTAAATTTTCGCATTTTTGCCCACCTTGTACCAATTTGGAGCAACATATTATAGATTTTTGGAATCAGCTCAGCAAAGGCAATTTGGAAATTGAAAAAAAAGGAGGGAGTCATTACACGAAAGTGGTTCACCCTGTATATTAGATTATGATTTGAAACAATAGTAAATTAAAATCAAAAATCGACCTGTTTCGGGAATTTCTAATTTTATTGTTCATTTAGCCAATAATGAATTTATGCGTTACTTTATGGACGCACTGTATAATTGCTCAAATACTCGTCGAAAAAGCAAAATTGCAATCTCAAGGTATTCTCTGACCTTCAACAAGAAAACATGAGAACCTGCAAAAAATCCAAAAAGGTCCCAATAAGTTTTTTATGTTGATCTATATCTAAATGACACCTAAAAATTGCAAGGTGTGATTCTGTGATGAAAATCAAGGTAGATTTTTGATGTATATTTTTTTGAAAAACCTCTTCCCGGAAAGTTGACCCTTCCGAAAGTTTGAAAAAATGGTTTCCTTTTTTATTATCACGTAAATCTAAAGTTGTTGAAAAAAGTTGTGGAGATAAAAATGTTGGACTTTTCAGCCACGTTTATTTTTTAAATTTCATAAAAAATATATTTTAGGGGTTGACTATCTAAGCATATTTCAGGGTTGAAAACATTCCGAAATGTGAAGTTTCATTGACAAATAATATTGACCAAGTTTAGTGTATTTTGCTAAATATACAGGGAAAACCGAAAATCCATTTTTTAATATTCGGAGGGTTATCACTTTTGCAGGAAAAGGTTTTTCAAAAAATGTTTTACCAAATACACACTTTGATTTTCATCACAGAATCACTCCTCAATACTTCTCTCCCACGGAATTTTGAAATTCTGCGCCTGTGCTACTAAGTATATAGATACAGAACGTTTCTTGTTTCAATATAAATTTCAAATAATCTCCAAAAAACATAATGTTTCAAAGATGAAACATTTTTTCGTACGCAAAAATCAATAGGAATAGGTATAGGTATACACATCCTTATTGGAAATGGATACATAATTTATTTGTTATTTGAAGTTTCCTTATTCGAGAAATATATTAAATAATAATTTAAATGGTAAGAGTTGTCAAACGCATTTTATTCATGATTACGACAAAAACTCGGCGTGTGCGCGATAGCCTTATTATAACTCGCGAGTTGTGTGCTATACTTTTTCCATGCTTGGACTAACCCCTTTTCACCTGGTCTCAGTATTTTATTTTAAGCTCCCCCACAAAAAATGAGCAGAAACAAAGAATATATTTTAGGAGAATCGCTTGAAATTTTTTAACCAACATTGAGAAAAGTTACCTACTCATTAATAAAAAAAAAGATGATGTGTAGATTCCCAATCAATTTCAATTGGATTTGGTTAAGGAACTTAAGAGAAGGTAATATCAGGTAATGACGAAAACAAAAACAATATCAACAAGATACGACTACTTCGGGAAATCACATCAAGTTTTAAAAGCATCAATTTATCGGCAATCTCGACGATCCAAAGGTTTGAATGTTCATAAAAACCTCTGCAAAACCACCTGCCAAAATCTTGTCCCTCTTTTGTGTTATCTGACAGGACCAATTTTCCAATTAGAGACGAGCTCTCATGTAATTGAGGACCAAGAAGGGTAATTTGGAAACAGGTGGAGGGAATATCATTGGAAGGCAGATGCTCACAAATTTATAAATTATTTTTTACTTGAATGATAATAGCCTGTCGGCTCGGCATTTCATTAATGAAATATCAATTTATATTTGTTTATATTAATACGATCTCTACAGGGTGTTTCCAAATTCAACCGACATTGTTTCACAGGGTATAGCCTTCGTGATTTCATAATAATTTCTTTTTACAGGGTGTATCTAAATAGCACCGAAAAAAAATTCGTTTTTGAGATATTAATATTTCCATGAAA